AGGACTAGGAAAAATATGAAACTAGCAAACCTCTTGATGATTTATGGCAGATTGGCAAGAATCTACTCTTTTAAATTATATTGCTAAAATAAATACATTTGCAGCAACTGGAACAGATATATATGGAAAAGAACCTATGAGTTCCACTCAGGTTCTAATTCTCAAAATAAATCCCTAGAATAGTTAACTTTAAATGAATGTTTTCTGCATTAGGGGCCAATGGATCCTCACAGCTAAGAAAAAATAAAGTTGCATAACTCTGTGCAAATCTTTTCAAGGAAGTGCTTTACAGGAGCTTCAGTATGTGCAAAGTACTTTTCTTTGAATAATATAAGTAGTCATATCTTTTTCTATTTTCTTCAAAAGCCACTCACAAATCTCTATGATCTATGAAACTATAAAATAATATATACACTAAAGAAGGTATGGAAGTAGATACCAATCACAGCACAAATAAGAGAAGTTGAGATAAGCAACTAGAAACAAAACATACTGTATTTAAATTAAATTGGATTTTGGTTGCATCCATAATGTATTAGGCATAATATAATTGGCTCAACTTTTACTTAATGTGTTATATAATACTTTTCCCACTCCCCTATAAGATTTCTAGTACTAAACTTCAGTCAACACAAACTTGGTGTTTGGCTTAGCAACAATTGTGAATTTGGCCAATGTGGCTTGTTCAAATGAATAAAATGCATTTCTGTTCAATGTGTGATTTCAGCCTGAGATTATTCAATCCTTAAATGAGCATAGTATTAAAGATGACAGAAAAGAAATAATTATGTTGCAAATATCAAACTTATTTGTACCAACTGCACCAATCCCTATTAGGGTAGTATGCAACAATATTTTCTAGATTGACTACAGGTGCTGGAAATGAGAGGTATGGTTTGGCAGTGAATTCTCCTCTTTCTTCAAGGGTCAGTGCCAGACCGTACTGATGGGATAGAGAGGAATTTGAACCTATCTCCTTAGTATGTGTGGCAGCGGGCTCACATACTTCTCCCTGTTTACATGAGGCTACTGGATGAGGTTATTTGTCAGCACAGGGTCAGTGTCATTGGTAAGCTGATTGTATATATCAGCCCTGGTGATATATTGTCAAAAGTGATATTGTCAAAATCTTGCCTTAGTGGTTGGTGCTAAGAGTGTCTGGCTAGGGAAGAACAGGCTCAACCCTGACAAAGCCAAGTAGCTTTATGTTCATAGTTCTCACACTCCCAGGATTTTTCTATCCTTAGCTCTGAATATAATCACATATATCCAAACCGAGGACTGTCCTGGACTTACAGACCTGCTTCAGGAGCAAGCAGCAGCTGTGGTTAGGGAGGCTTTTGCATAAATCTATCTAGTGGATGGATACCAATGTACAGTGTACCAACTGCACCAATCCCTAGACTGGTAGGCCTACCCACAACCATTCATCCTTTAGTCATTAATTGTGTTGATTACTGCACTGTACACTCTGTATGAAGTCACCTTTGAAGGCCACTTGGAAGTTTTATCTTTTTAAAGTATCATTATTAGAAAGTAAGATAGTTGTAGTGATTCAATATCAGTATATTCTGATGATTCCAAAGTCTCACTGGACAGGACAGAAATGCTGAAACATTTGCTACCTTTTCTGAATTTTCCCTCTCCAAGAAATATATTCCATCTGACTGGAAGTTATATTGAGTTCAACTTACATGGGAGATCATGAGTTCCATCTCCTGTATGGTAAAACAAGCCTTACTATTACATCAGATCAGCTCTTATAATACATAAAGCAAAGGATGAAGAGGCCTTATTGAAAAGCAAAGTGGCTACACATATGAGTTATTCCAAATTATTCCTAATCCATTGCTCTTTAAAGGCCAATCCTTCCTGTTTTTTCTCCCAGATTGTCTAGATAAATGAAAAGTACTTGGGCAGAAAGATGAGGAAAAATAACAAGGTGAGCATCTCTGTAATTATTTGTAAAAATGTGCCAATTTAAATCATGTTAAATTACGTAAAAAGAAAATTCAGTGGAATTATATAAAACCAAGTGCAGTTGATTTTAGATAGATGCTTGTTTTATTAGAATACAAAGTTACATATAAGTAGTATTTGCTTCTTGGACCTTTGATGAACAATAATTCAAACAAGAGATAGTCCTAAGAAAATCATGTGCTAAAACTCAATGTACTAGGATAAGCAAATATATTTTCTGCTGTCTTTTAGCAGAAACATGGCTGGTCAACTCCTGAAACATGGCTGGTATTACCAATGATGAGGTATGCTGAGAAGAGTTGGTCAAATATATCTCAAAAACCCTAGGTTTGCCCTTTCCTGAGCTACAGGGTTTTTGTTTGTTTTTTTACTGAGCCTAGTATAGAATAAAGCGTTATTAGGATAAAAACTTCTTTAGTTCATCCTATATAATCACTAGATCCATATATACACAAATACGATCAGAAGGCATCCTGCTACAAAATAATAAAGCAACTGAAAATAAGAAAGAAAAGGTCCAGCAACTAGCATGCGACAATCTTTATATAGTACCATTGCTGAAGCTTATAAAGCATGGATCATGGATCACTGGAATGAAAAATTATTGGGAAATCCATGTTTTGTGAGCTTTCTTAAGGAAGAAGCATGATCTGAAAGTACAAAAAATAATAACATATTCCTCAGAAAAATCTAGTGACTCCTGCATTCAAAGTATCACACAACTTGACATCCTACAAGAGATTCTTACTTTATTTCAAATTCTTAAAAATTGATTAAATGATAGGAGGTGGTATTGTGAATTATAAGCTATCCTTACGAATATGATTTACATTCAGTGTATACTGTAGAGGCTACTGCAAAGGTGCTGTCCAATGAATATTTAACATAATCAGTAGTTACAAACATTAAGAAACAACACAGACACCTTATAATATAGAAATAACATTAATTTATGGAAGGTACAATGTAAATAAACAGTCTTGTCTATTTGAAATTTCTAAAAAATGGCATATATGAAGAGAAAGCTGGTAAGGAAAGTATAAATTCAACAAACAGATGAAAACCAAAGCATTCATTTTTATTACTTTCAAAAAAGAAATGTTATGTTGACAGCATAGTGAAACTTTCCTCAAAATGATTACTTACAGTGTACGTAGCTAATCTTTTCTAATACCTTCAGAATTTTTCTTTAATCATTTCTTATCTTAGAGAGGCAAATATGTAAAATCAGTAGGGAGTTCAAATTATTTTCATTCAAGTTCTACTGAAGTCATTTATATGGGCAGTTAAAACATGAAAAAAAAAATTGCCCTACTTGAAAACAATTGAAGAAAGTTTTATCCCTAACCCAGAAAATTTGTATGCTCTTTTAAGTCTACTGTTCATTGTCTTTCAGTGCCTCTGATTAGCCTAAGTTTATTGCATAGTCACTTAACTTTAAAAAGTACAGGGAAGATTGTGATGATTTTCTACAATATTGATATAAGTTTATGACATAACACCTTCTTAGTCCCACACTTTTCAGCTTCCAAACTGTTTTAAAAATTACATAAATTATATAATTTTAAAATATAATAAAACACAATCTCTGTCAACTGATTTGTAAAATTATGTAAAAAAGAATTTATTTTTAACTTTCAACATGTGGAAACTTGGTAAATTAGACTGATCATCAACTAAGTAGATTAATTCTATGTTCAATTATCAGAACTGAAATGATTTAAAGTTGTATAAAAATATCGCAATATCTCACGTCCAGCAATCACCTTTAAACTGACAGCAAAGAGCAACAGCAAGTGTCCACATGTATGGAAATGTTCTGGTAAACGGAAAGATCTGTATTCATGAACACTTAACAATTGTAGCAGGCCTACACAGAACTATTTTGTACACATAGGGGAGGTTATATGCAAAATATACACATTAAAAAAATTAAACAAGTATGGATTATATCCTTTTAAATTCAGGTAAATCCTCAGATTTATTGGATGATTATTTTTGTGTAAATATAAAAAGATCATTTCAGTCTATATTTAAAGTTAATACTAGCAGACAGTCTAATCACATTTTAAAATCTATATACGATTTCACATCTTAATTCTTTTTATCATAATATCCTTACATGTTCAATGAAGTAGAACTCTTTATCTAACATCAATAAACCAGGGTAATCAAGAATTAGCTGAGTATCACTGTCAAATGCAGAAATCAGGTTAACTTCCTGGAAATAGTTTTGACTACATTCTGGAAAAACCATATTAGATACTAGAAAAAGTGAAGGCCAGTATAGCATTAGAGTTCTTATTTCTGTTTGGAGATTGTTATTGAAGTTGCATTATTTAGCTTTCCAAAACTTTTACATATTTAAGTCAGCAGCAACTACTGATTTCACTCTTGAGGATACAGAATACCATATAATCTTACAACTTTGCCCTTGATAAAGCCGCTGTGAAGTTATCATCAAGCCTTCTAGCACAGAGGTATCATTAGTACATTCCCAGACTTTTACTAGTGTAAACCATCTCATGCATACTTTGGGAAGTAATGGAACTTCCAAGACTTTATCTGTCTCTTTAGTACTTACAGTCTCATACAAACAATAGATAAGAGAAAAAATAACTAGGGTTACTGATCCTCACATCTTCAGGAGCTGTAATGTTTGCTTTTACTGAGCATACCAAGAATTACCTTTATAATCTCCTAACAAAAACACAGCAAAGAATTATCAAAGAATATGTGGCAAATATTTCCACATATCAACTTAATGTGAGTAGACTCAGACCTAGGAGCCACAATCAACATCTATGTACAGTAGAGAACATTCTAAATCTTAATTCCACGTTCCAGCAGGAGTAGCAACCAACAGATCATTCTGGTTTTAAAACAGCTGTCAGGGAGGATATACGTTGGAGGGTTACTTAATCTAGATCAAGTGATCGCATCACATGATGCTTGGGGAGCTAGCGCGGAGTGAAGTCACTTCGTCCTGGGGCAGGCCAGCAACCGGGTCCCCCGCTTACCTTTGCCTCCCCCAAATCGGGCTCCTCCTCATAGTAGCCCTGCCCGGATTCGTAGGCAGCGGCTATCGCAGGCTCGCGAGCGAGTAACAGCACGACAGCAGCAGCAGCCAGATAGTAACCCAAAGAGAATAATCCCAGCAAGTGCATTGTGCAAAAGGCGGCAAGCGGGACCGCAGAAGCCGTAAAGACAGCGTATGGTTGACGCTGTGGGGCTCCCGTCCGGTCCTGGCACTCGCTTGGCAGACCTTTTAAGCAGCGGGTTCCCCGGGATGGAGCAAAGGAAGGGGCCACGAAATCCACTCCCGCCCCTTCTCCCGCTGGCTGGCCCGCTCGCTCGTTTGCTCGGCGGTCGCGTTTTCTTTTTTCCTTCCGTTTGTCTTCTTCCAAAGTTGCGTGGGGATGATTAGGAAAAAAGGGACATTAAGAAACCGGACATCGAACCGGGCTCCCCCGGGAGCTGAGAGAGGTCAGCGGAATTTCCAAGGCAAAAGAAAGGTGGAAAGTATCCTCTTCAGCCCCCAGCCCCACCAGGGGGCTCTATGCCAGCCAGCTGAGTAGGGGCATTAGCCGGCTTCACTTCCCTCCTCGCTTCTTCGGGTGCCTTGTCAGTGGCAGCAGCGCTAGCAGAAGACGGGCAGCGGGAGCCTCTCTAACGCGTGGAGCTGTGCGGCAGCGGTAACCGCAGGGGCGGGCGGGCATGGCTAAAGCGCCCTCTGTCTGAGAGCGAGTGGCTGGCGAGGGAAGGAAAGGGAGGGAAGGAAAGAGAAAGGACGGAAGGCGCCCGGGTCGCGTGTTTCTTGAGTTCTCACCCCTCCCTGCCTCGCCGCCTTTCCCTCCTCCTCTTCCTTCGTCTGTGCTGCACTTTCCCACAAGTAGCCGCTCGCCTCGCAGACTTTTCCCCAAAGACGCGAGGAAACGCGAGAAGGGAGGCTCGCGCGCGCCGGGCCCGGGCCAAAGCTAGTCGAGAAACCCGAGCCACGCGCTGCTGAAGTGCACGCGCTTCCTTCGAAGCTGCTGCTGCTGCTGCCCCTCCGGGAAAGAGATCTACAGCTCGGTCTCTCTACTGCTCAGACTCGCCGGTTTCGGGTTATTGGGACCTTAAGAGTGCCGCGAAGGAGGGAAGGAAAGAAGACGCCTTATCCTGCAGCTGCACCTCTCCGCGGCCCAGGATCCAGATCTTTCTTCCCCTGGACCGCCTGGCGCCGCCCACGCCAGACCCCGTTTGTCCCGAGGGCGGCGGAGCGGCTAGGCTGTCGATTACAATACCTGTCGTTACCTTTGAGCTTAGCAGAATAGTGCATTTCTGATATACTGCGAGCCAATCTCAGAAGATGCTTATGCCCTCCTCTGTATGTCTTTCCAGGCTTTTCGACTGGTTTTTATTGTAGCCTTGCAGTACGCTAATAATTTTACCTGGTTTTAGGCAAGAAGAGTCTTCTCCTGCATTGTGCAACAGTAAGGACATGGTGCAGCCGTTCTGGCTATGCCATGCAAGAGAAATTAGAGGACTGATAAGGAAGGTTGTGGAAGCTTCTGCATGTTCACTTAATAAGATTTGAGCAATGCACCATTTGGGGTGATTTTTAATCTATGTAATCTCTAATAGTAATCCAGTTTATTCATGCAAATAAAACCCTGTTAGATCCAAACTCTGTTGTCCAAAGGTTAGACTTAAAAATTGTATGCAGACAAGCATCACTTGCTGAGACCTTTTTAGATGCCCAGTCATGAGTGAGACACTTACCTTACATCCTTGATATGGAAGACCTTAGAAGCTGGAGAAATGGCAGGAGATGATAAGTGCGTGGCAGAATGAGGCTTTCTAAAAATTTGCTCTTTCTTGATAGAGATACAAACTTTCTGTTTAGAGGATATTTGGTTCGCTAGGCTATCCAGAATATGTGAGTCGGTGGAAATCTTGTTATTAATTCTGCTGGCTCATTTTTTCTTTTTCAACTGCAAGGATTGTATAAAAGCAAAAATAAATAAATAATCTCCCACTTTTTCCCTACATGTGGACTTACAACCACAATTGGGACTGTCATAAATTGAGTCAGGCCCCATTTTATGACAAAAGTTATGGCAGTTGTTAAGCGAATCAGATAGCCAGTAAACAAATCCAGTTTCTCCAATGGAGAAATTGGCAAAAAAGGTCACAAATCACATGGCTGCAGGATTTAAAATCAGTTGTAAATGCAAGCTGGGTACCAAGTGCCCAAATTGCAATCACATGACTGTGGGGGTGGTGAAGCAGTCATAAATATGTGTACAAGTCATAAAACCCTTTTTCCAAAGCTATTGTAACTTTTAACTATTTAAACAAATGGTCATAAATTGAGGACTACCAATAGTTGTTTTAGAACAAGATTTCCTCGTTGGGAAAGATGCACACTGGATTAACTAGGAGAAACTATCCTAATCTTGGATTGAGGAACATATATGGCAGCTCCCGAAACGTTTGATAAGGAAATGTACTTTCCCCATCAGAGACAAACAACATAACAAAAAGTAGTCCTATATCTTCTGCAAAAAGGTTATTTCAGAGTCCTCCAAAGTAGGGCAAAGGTTGTTCATGTTTAATATTCTAAGCAGCATCATTTAAGTTATCAGTATCTGATTTCCATCAAGATAGTGTTCAGTTATAAAAATCCAAATAATAAGTAGAATTGTTGGCAATATTTTCTACTGCTAGGCATTCAGTAATGGTTGCAGTTGCGAAAGCTCAAACCAGAAATATACTCCAAATAATTTGTACAAGCATTTATGTTTGTTTTGGTCCTAAGCCTGCACCTTTCAGAGACTGCTTCAGTCCTGGCCTCTAGGTCTAGGAAATCCATTGCTGAGATGCTCAGCTTCATTTGCCTCAGGGCACTGGAGATTGGCATGGATCTTTTCTGATGTGGACAGAAGGGTTGTAACATATGTGCTTTTTCTGTGTACCAGAAATGCTGATCTTGAATACAGCTTTACAACCTAATGATAATATTTACATTTTAGTGCTATTCTGGATCAGAATAGCATATTTTGCATAAAGTTGAACCACAATCTTATAAACAATGGATGTTTTTATCTATCTGGCCTAACTCAGGATCTAGTTGGCTCATTTTGGAAAGAAAGCCCAGAACTTCATATATCACAGAAGGTATAATTTCTTTCCTTTTTTAAAAAAAAAAAGGGAGAGGGGTTGTTAATTCTTTTAGGAACCAAAGATTTAGGTAACAGATCATCAGTTAGACAAATATCTAGGTTCACGTATTTCCTTAGCAATTGGATTTAAAGAACCACAGGTATTTGGCATTCTAATGTTCTTGCTAGATGAGAAACATCGGGTAGCACAAAATCCGGTTACCTGTCTCAGTAGGATTGAGATCACCAGAGAATTTTTATCTACTTTCTGCCATTTACACTTGTTCAATTTGATGTGCTGATTTTGTCTAAATAAAATCATAAATGGTCTAAGGTTAAGTTTTCTTATAAATTACTAATTACTTCCATGCTTTAATACTAACTGAAATAGTGAAGTGGTAAAGGTTTGGAAAGAGACAAGAAACTACACCAAATAATATAAGATAGAATAATTTATTTCTATGCTATCTGGGTTTAGAATTTTATCTCAATATTTTTTTTTAAATACTTTCTAAAAATATTAATTTCTTATTGTTTTGGCATTTCTGACAACAATAGATATCATGAATAAATATTGTTAAGATAAAGTTGGTTAACATTGAAACAATAATATATGAGTATAATTTATTGAATATATATTAAATATGTTAACTATATTACTGAATGTATTTAATATTCAGTAATGTTTATTTATTATTGTACATGTAGATAGTGCTATATCATTCATATCTATATCTCAGTAACATGATTCAGAGAAAGTAGGTTGTTTCAAATAACAAATATTTTTTCATTTAGGTATAGTTCTAATAGAAACATAGTTAACTTATTGTCATAAATTTGTAAAGTGAATAGCTAATCTGTTTAAGTATATTTAAAGAGCCTTTTAAGGTCAGTAGAATGTAGCAGCACACACACACTCTGGTACTGGTAATCATAGCAGTGTTCCAATATCTCAGGGGCTGCCACAAAGAAGAGGGAGTCAAGCTATTTTCCAAAGTGCCAGACGACAGGACAAGAAGCAACGGATGGAAACTAACCAAGGAGAGAAGCAACCTAGAACTAAGAAGAAACTTCCTGACAGTTAGAACAATTAACCAGTGGAACAACCTGCCTCCAGAAGTGGTGAATGCTCCAACTCTGGAAGTTTTTAAAAAGAGACTGGACAGCCATTTGTCCAAAATGGTATACGGTTTCATGCCTGAGCAGGGGGTTGGACTAGATGACCTCCAAGGTCCTTTCCAACTTTATTATTGTTATTGTTATTAAATACATTTCTAAAAATACTGTATATAACGTCTCACTTAATATAAGATTTAAACATTTCAATGATGTTAAGAGTTCCTATCAAGGGAAACTATGAACTACTATTGAAATCCAAACTTTTTAATCATGTTACTATTGTATTGTACAGTAGGCAAATGTAAAGTACATTTCTCTGTGCGGTTTAGTCAAATTATGTACATATTAGTATTGTACACTACAATAGGCAACTATCTAGCATATTCCTCTGTATGGTGTAGTTATATTATCTGATATGACCACATTTTTGTTCAAACACATGGTTATTTTAAAAGTAGGATATGTGAATTATAGGAAACATTGGATTAGGGGGAAAAAAAGCTGAAAGAGCAAAGGAAAAAACGTATTAATTCTAGTAGCACCACAAATATTTCACTTCACTTAGTCAAATATGAGACTAGATGCTTAAGGTATAAGGCCCTTTAATAAAGCCTTTTGGTTATGCTAAATATTAAGAACATTAATTGTGGCTGAATGTCTAAAGAGTTATGACTAATCTAATATAAACAAAAAAATTTGCTTAATTTCAGTAGAAATTATACAGTATTTAGGTTACCTAAGATACTCTTTAGACTGTTCCAAGATAAGAATGTTGTTAGGATGCTTTTAAAATTGACAAGAAACGAGTGTAAGATATATAAATTCACAATTTCTGCTATCTAAATTTTGTAGGTCAATTCCATAATTCTGAGGATGAATTTTCCTAAATCAAGTGACACAATATTAACATTAATAGTAGCCCAATATTTCCTACTGTTTCTTAATCAAACACGAATGATTATTTTTACATCATTCTAATTTTAATGATATAATTATCACTGCAAGTCATATTAAATGTTCACTTTGGAAAGATGTAGTATTCAGGGGTTACATGATTTAAAAATATTTGTCAGAGGTTACATGATTTAAAAATATTTGTTAACCATTTTAAAAGGTTTTTATGAAATGAGAGACCTACAGGGTTCCTGGGTTGCAGTTACACATGCAACTGTGTAATATATATACAATAACATTAAGATTGTATCATCTATAGTTAAATCATGTACTGTAATTTGTGGTTAGCCAAGGAAGGACTTTGTTTAATAGACAAATGACATTACAAGTAAAGTAGTCCTAAAAGTCTTAATTTTCAACATGTTTCTTAACAGAACTATAACCATCACTTTTTTCAGTTCTTATACGTACAAAATGATTAGAACTATATATACCAACTGAGGCACAAAAAAAAAATTCTCTGTATGAAATTAGTTGTAAATGTTGGACTTTTCAGTTATGTAGTGTATATAATGTATAAGCTGAAATTCTGTGATATGTGAAAATGACCAAAAGAATTCTGTTTTGAGATAAGACACAGGTATCAGCTTTGTAGAAGTTGGATTAGTTTTCTGCA